GGCGGCGGGAGGGCGGTGCGGGCGGGCGCCTCCCGGCTGAGCAGGACCGGCGCGGGCGGGCGGGCTCCGCGAGCGTGTCTGATCTTCCAGAGGGATGAGTCAGCCGCGCTCCGCCCTCCTCCGGCACCGCCCTACGCTCGGGGCCGCTTTCCCACCCTCTAGCCTCGCGTTGTCCTCACTCCAGGGCTCCAGCGCCCTCAAAGCAACCGCGCTCTCAGGCTGCAGCCGCCGCGGGTACCCCTAGCGGTGGAGTCGGGGGTGACAGGGCGGGGCGATGGGAAGGGGGCGGGGACAGGGCGGGGCCACGCAGGCGCATTGCGCAGGGCCCAGCGGGCCCAGCTCTCGCCCGGGAAGGAGCGCGCACTGGAGTCTCCACCCACTCCAACGCGTGACGGTGGAGGGAAGAACTGGGGGCGCGCGCTCCGAGCTGGCCTCCAGCAGTCAGAGAGAAAGAGTGAGGACCCCGCGCCCGGCCTGCAGATGCACCCCACCAGGCCCTGCGCAGTCCGCCCTAAGCCTGGAGCTGGTCTAGAGCTTGGCACTGCCCTGGCAGAGCTGTCGGATGGTTCAGCCCCAGGGGTTCCCAGCGCCCTGCCCAGGCCTGGGGAAATGCAGCACAAAGGGCTGCACCATTTACCAAGTCGGTGCCACCGCGGTCATACAGTCCGGCCCTAGACCCCGGCTCTGGGTGCTCCCAAGAGAAGGCCATGCCGGTTCTTCTACCTGTTTCCAAGGAGGTTTGAGACCCAGACCTTGAGGTTTGGGGCGGAGAACACCCTTCCTTGTCCTGATGACAACCTCCTGCTAGCAGATTGCTAGTGCTCGAGCCGAGCCAGAGGCAAGAAAACCATAGCGTTTGCTGAGTGTGAATTATTTCCCTCTCTGTGCCACCCACGGAGAGAATTCTGAGGTTCTCCTGGACATGAGTTCCACATGTCCAGGGCCTGAATCTTCAAGGCTCAGGTCAAGTGCCACCACTCTATGAAGCTTTCTCGTCTTTCTAAAGGAGATCGCTGCTTTGTCTGAACCTAAGGAGACTTAGGCACCCTGTCTTAGAAAATAAATCTGCTTAGACGATAAATCTGCTCAAATGTAATCACATCAAAGGGATCTAAATCCCATCTTTATCGTAACCACTGCTGCACCCAGCTCACAGCTTATGTGTAGCAGATGTGCTATAAATATGTAAGGCAATATAGTTGGCCCTCCCTATCTGTGGTTCTGAATCTGAAGATTCGATCAACCGCAGACCAAAAATATTTGAAAAAAAAAATGCATCCGCCTGGAGCATTTCTTGTCATTATTCGTCTAATACTACAATGTAACATTATTTGCATGCACTTATATTAGTTGTTAAGAGTAATCTAGAGGTGACTAAAGTATGCCAGAGGGCCCAATAAGTGTTTTAATAAACCCTCCTGTTAAAACTGATGAGCCCAGTGGTTGACAGAGAGAAGACCCTCACCTAGAATTCGTAGTTCCTTCCACCAGATGACCCAGATAGAAAGAGAGCTCCAGAAAGATCAAAGCTGCTTGCTTGCCGGCCTTCCCGTCTTGCTCGTGTATATGTTCTGTTGCTGCTGCTGCCAACCTTTGCTGACATCAGTGTTCAGCTTCTAACCTGGACTAAAGGCCAGCAACTCTCCAAGAATCTTTCAGGCCTTCAGCACCAGGTTTCGACTGCTGACACATCTAGCTTCATGGACAGAGCCGGCAGCTTCTGGATTCTTAGCCTCCCCAGCATGCAGATGGCCACCGTTGAACTACCCTGTCCCTATCTGTTGTAGATTGGTAAGCAGGGCATGGTGGTGCACACCTTATAATATCAGTACCTGGGAAGTAGAGGTAGGACGATCAAGGAGTTCTAGGCCAACCTCAGCTACATATCCAGTCCAAGGCCAAGCCTGTGCTGCGTGAGACTTTTATTAAAAATAAGAGTAGCAAGCTGGGCATGGTGGTGCCCTTTTAGTCCCAGTACTCAGGAGGAAGAAGCAGGTGGATCTCTGTGAAAGTGAGACTAGTCTGGTCTACAAAGTGAGTTCCATGCAAGCCAGGGCTACAGGGAAACACTGCCTAAATAAATAATAAAATAAATATAAATAAATAAATAAATGTAGTAGGATTGGGAATGGCATCTCATACCTTTAGTCTCAGCACTCAGGAGGCGGAGGCAGGTAGATCTCTGTTAGATAAAGGCCAGCCCTATCTACATAGGGAGTTACAGGCTAGCTAAGGCTACGTAGTGAGACCCTGTCTCAAAAAATAGTGATTCCCAATGAATTGCACGTTTTGTTATCTACTCACTTGTATAATCTATTTGCACATTAACCATAGGTTTGACGATGTGATTTGCCTTCGTTCATAAAAGAGACATTATAAACCTAATCTGATAAGCATTTGCTCATTTGAGGCTTACTATAATGCCTTTGATGTGTAAAATGGTAGGAAAAAAATAAAATGTAGAAGCAAGACAAATATGAGATAGGTTGGGGGCTGGAGATGTGGCTCAGCAGTTAAGAGTATGTACTGCTCTTGCAGAAGACCAGGTTGCTGTTCCCAGCACCAAAGTCAGGAGGTTCTGAAAACCCACTTGTAACGCCACCTCCAGGGAATCTGACACCCTCTTCTGGCTATTGCAGGCAATTGCACTCAAATGCACATGTCCCCTTCACTGACACACAGGCATACACATAATTAGAAATAAAAATAAATCTTTAAAAAAAGAGAAAAAGTTTGAATCAAGAATAAATGGGCAAATGCTGTAGAAAGTGGTAGAAAGTGGTGTGTTCAGAAGACACAAAAACAGTCCATTTAGTCCTTACCTCTTTGGATGAGGATGTAGGTCGGTGGCACAGTCCTTACCTAGCACATGCAAGGCCCTGAGTCCAATCCCAAGCAATTCAGAAATAAAAGTGAAAATCAAGGCTAAGATCATACTACCTCTAGATTTGAAGCTATGTTACCCCTCAGTTGGACCACTATTGGTGACACCCACTGTAGTCCTATTATATGGTCATTAATCTCTGCTCAGATAAAGCAGAAAATCCCCCAGACACTCAGCTAACTAATAGCCAGCTACAGTTATGAGCAGACAAGCTTGTTTCTCCTTATTTCACTTTGAGCCTCAAAATCCTAGTATCTGCAGTGACCAGCACAGCAGAGAAGCATGGGACACACAAATATCACATTGGTTCTATCTTCCAGCCTATCCTAACAAGGTGTAAACTGTTCTAGTTACTCCTGATATACTTTGAGTGGACACAGATTTAATGGCTTGATTTATGTTGTTCATGATTTTGCAGCTCAAAAATTTGGGGAGGGTTTCTTTCAGCATTGCTTTCTTAAAGATTCTAAAATAGTGGCAACTACTGTCATTTGAAGGTTCAACTGGGCCAAACATCCAAAATAGCTCATTCTTGTTGCTTATGGGTGATGTTGGCTGTTAGCGGTTTACAAACTCAGCCCTTCCAGCATGGCAAGTTTTTGCCTGGCATTTGGCTTCCCCCAGGGTGAGAGTCTGAAAAGAACTAGGCCCATGGCCTTTTCTGCCCTATCTTCAGAAGTCATGTCGTGTCCATCACTTACACTATATTCTAAATTCTACTGGGTGCAAAGCAAGCCACTAAAGCCAGTAGAGATTTGAGGGAAGGGTACTCTATTATTTACTTGTGTTGCTGTGAACAAGATACCTTACTGAAACAAAGGAGGAAAGTTTTATTTTTGGCTTGTCATTCCAAAGAAGTTTAGTCTGTGGTTGTTTGGCTCCATGTACTTGGGCAGAACATCATGGGAGAGAGACTGTGTGGCCGAGCCTATTCTTCACTTATTTGGGGTCAGGAAGCAGAGAGATGGGAGAATACACGAAGGAGCCAGGGCAAAACGTAATCCCAAGAGGATGCCCCCCGTGACTACTTCCTCCAACAAGGACTTGCTTTCAGCCTTTCATCACTTCCTAATAATGCTATTGCATTATGGGTCCATCAAGAAATTAATCTATTGATTAGGTCAGAGCCCCCAGGATCTAACTGTCTCTGGAAATGTCATTATAAGTACCCCAAGGTGTGCTTCACCCTAGGCTTTTCTTAACCCAGTGAAGCTGACAAGCAAAATTAAGCATCACAGGTATACAAACCTCATTTCTTAATGGGAACAATGCCAAAGAATTTTAAGGTATGTTTTAAAATCTCCATATAGACCATGTAATCCAAGCACCATAATTTGGTCTATATGCCCATGTGTTTTGTGGGACAATCTGAAGGGATATATGGAAGCTGCCACTGCATCAAGGTCATTCTCCATATGATTTGAAATTCTTCAGCTCTAGTGGGAAACAAAGAAGTCTGATGTTTCCTTCAAAAAGATCACTTAAAGGAAGAGGCTTCAGCCTATTTATCAGGGGTTCCTGCTAATTATGGGATATATGCATAAGGTCATTTTAGATCATCCACCCCACTCAACCCTCAAATGACCGATTGCATTATCCTAGACCCACCATGCCTGATTTGAGTTTTTGCCATTTATTAGGTGTATTACCTTGGGGTGATAAATCAACCTTTCCATGGTTGTTCATCTGTCTGATGGAGATAAGGACATGGTGTTCAGTTTACTATCTGCTAAGTGGAGATAAAAGCATCAGCTTTATAGGGTTGTAGTGAAACCAGAGAGTTCGTATCTGTAAAATATTTGAAACAGTACCTGACACAGAGTAAATGCTCCATAGTATTAGCTATCATTATCTAATTCC